ATTTTTTTTTTGCCATTTTACGTCTAACGGTTAACCCCACTGAGACCCTTCAGCTTAGGAGAAATTCTGTTTTGATCAGGGAGAACGATTGAAGATGCATTCAAAGTTTTCTGTCCACTCGCTTAGTTGTCATGCGTTTAAGAAAACTCAATATCTGCATGTAGTTCTTGAAGAAATTTTCCTAAACAGCATCTAAAATCGTGAGAAAACCCGTTCCGTTACATTAAGCAAACACGCAACACTCATCAACACTCAATATGCTACAATATTTGAATGTACTACAATATTTTTCTTATATATATATATATATATATATATATATATATATATAAGAAAAATATTGTAGTACACGAGGACGGACAACTTCGAGCTAAGAAAGACATATACTCAAATAAAAAGTCTAATAAAACGTTTCGGTCCGAGACCTTCATCAGTTGTAATAAAATGACTTACCAATTTATTTAAATAGATTTATATAGGGCGTGATGACACATATAAACAAAAACAGTAATTACTACGCGAAAAATTATCACAATAAAAAGAAATGGAAAAATTTTCGAATCCACTGAAAATGTTAAGGAACCAGCGTTGACTTGAAAGGCGAAAATTGTACTAAAATTCCCAATTAACGCTGAGACTGGGACCTTTGATGCCCGCCCAACTTGAAAAAATTCTCCGCATCAATTATAGTTTATTCTTTTTTTAAAGTGAAATTCCGAAGGGTGCCAGAGAGAACAACAGCGCGCTCCAATATGCTTCTTCGGTTATTAGAAGTTTCACGATGTTACCTGACTTGTTTACTGTCGCCTGTACTAAGAAAAAGACCTGAGAAGTAGCGGTACATTTAAAAAAAACACCACATAATTTAAGCGATTTCTCATTCCAATGCATTGATCAAGTGCTTTGTTTGTTTTATGGATTGCTTGCGTTGTTGTGGGGAGGGCTTTCTTGTAGGATTTTGTTACGTTTTTTTCTAGAAGATCGTTGTATTCTGCGGGTTAAAGTTTTTAGAAGTTAGTAGTTTTGTCTGCTAGGACCAGTAGCTTGGGTTCGTTCTTGATGCGGTTGGTGTCTTCTTTTAGTTTGTTGAGGAAAGGGCTGTTGACCTGCTTGACTTTTACAGACTGTATCATCTTGAGCATGTCGTCCTCAAAGTCCTTTAGTTCTTCGATCGGTGGAGGGTTCTTGGTCGATTTGAAGCCTTAGTTCTCTTTGGATGTGGGCGAGGTGTTAGGATTTAGGAAGAAGAGCAAACAGCAACCCTGGCAAAAAAAAGGCAACACTACATTTGACGAAGGTGTAGTCTGATCGTCCGGGTGAGTGTAGTCCTGAGAAGGACTGTTGTCGGTGGTAGTGACTGACGTTTCGACAACCTGTGCGGAAGTCATCATCAGAGTCAAGTGAATGATTGTTGTCAGTAGAATGTTCTTATTCCAGTTCGTGTGAAATGATCGGTTGGTTTTGCCGTGATGTTATTGGCTGTAAGACTCAAGTGACGTAAGTCGGTCGTGATTGGTCTGTTTCGATCTGTCGGTAAAGTTAGGTCGTTCTTTTTCGGTCGTTTGTGATGTTTATGTCGTGAATGAGTCGTTTGTATGGAGCGGGTAGTTGTTGACATCTGTTTAGGGGAGTCTGTTCTAAGTTAGTAAACCAGCTTTCCAGAGTCAGTCGTTGAAAATAGTCAGTGCTGTAGGTTAGGCATTGCGCAGAGTCCCAGTCAATGTTGTGGTTGGTAAGTCGATGGTGTTCAGCAATGTGATTGCTGACATCACCTTTCCTCGTCGCCCGTCTGTGTTCAGTCAGTCTTGTTGTGAGGTTTCTGCCAGTCTCACCGATGTAGGAGGCTTGGCAGTCGGAACAATTGATCTTATAAATCGTTCCCTGTCTGTTCCTCGGTTCGTCTTTGTCTTTAACGTTGGTTAGTAACTGACGTAGTGTGGTGATGGGTTTGTGGGCGACGCGGATATTGAAGGGTAGTAAGATGCGCGAGATGTTTTCAGACATGCCTTTTATGTACGGTATGGTTGCTGTAGTCGTAGGGGTTGCGGTGTCGTTTGTTTCGTTTGA